GTACATATTGTACTTTATACTGTACTACATCTCAGAGGTACATGTTGTACTTTATACTGTACTACATCTCAAAGGTACATGTACTTTATACTGTACTACATCTCAGAGGTACATGTTGTACTTTTCACTTTAACCACATTTATATACTATAAGGTTTTGAAAGTAGTACCTTTACTCGTAGTGAAGTATATTATCAGTGTGTATTAGTACTTTTTACTGCTCAAAAGGATCAGAGTACTTCTTCCAACATTGGTGGAGTTTTATATCTCAGCTGTCGGAGCGTCCCTGAAAGCACCGACAGTCTTTGTCCCAACAAGATAAGAACAGTAGAGTAGTGATCGTACACCTGAAACCAAACTCAACCAAAGAGTCTCAATGTGGCTCATCATGTTGATCAGAGGACGCTGGAACACAACCTCTGTGTGTGTGTGTGTGTGTGTGTGAGAGAGAGAGAGAGAGAGAGAGAGAGAGAGAGAGAGAGAGAGAGAGAGAGAGAGAGAGAGAGAGAGAGAGAGAGAGAGAGAGAGAGAGAGAGAGAGAGAGATATATTAGGGTCAGAGTCATTTTGGATCTGGGCAAGAGGCCATATTTAACATCTGTACACAAGGTTTGATATTTAGGAGCTACAGCTTTTAATCCAGACGTGATATCTGAGCTCTGATTGGTGGATTAAACCAACAGGATTAATATCAGAGTCTCAGCAGAGAGACAGACAGGCGAAGGTGGACAGAGAGTTGAAAGCAAACAGACAGACAGACAGACAGGTGGACACAGAGTGTAGACGACAGGAATCACCTTTAACCAGGTAAAGTGTTTGGTTTGTGTGTAACCTGCTGTAGGGGCTGATGGGACATGTTGTAGTTTAAAGGAGTTTTAAAACAACCTCAGCACTACAACTCAATGACAGTAGAAACAAATGTGTCATGTTCTTGTAGAACGTTTCAGCGGTTTATTAAACAGTATTTTATTATATTTATTGTATGTCCTGTGGTCAGAAACCCAAAGACCCAAAGAAGATATAGTCTGGTTTGTATTTGAACCGTAGTTTAATTTCGGTTGATATTGGCTATGGTTTGATTTTTAACTAAGCTGTAGTTTGGTTTGTATTTGGGCTTTAGTTTTGGCTGTAGTTTGGTTGTAGTTATTGTCATTAACATTATTGTCTTTCATTATTAGCTTTGTTGTTCATCTCTCTCTCCTCAGGCTCAGCCATGTTTGTGGGTCGGGTGCCGCCCACAGCTGCTGCTGTCGGGTCGGCGGCTGCAGGAGGAAAAGGCGGGAAGTTTTCAGTGGAGGAGCTGTACGGGTTCAACAAGAAGCCGAAGGTGAACAGAGGGAATCCTGGAAAACCAGAGAAGAGTGACGGGAAGAAAGAAACCAAGGAGAAAGAAGAATCCGTGCTGGCGTCTCAGATCCTGGAGGCAGCGAGGAGGCTGATGGAGAGACGACGACTGGAGATATACCTGAAGGAGTGTGATGTCACCATGGAGCAGAGTAACATGCCGTACAGGTGAGACACAGGAAGACAGGTGAGACACCGGTATGTCGCACTACTCACCCTCCAGGTGTTTTTCGTATCGTTAACTGAATGAACCACATTACATTTACATTTTGAGGCCGGCTGCTCCTCCAAACACATTTTAGGTGAAATAGCCCACCACGGCTGTAGTTTTGTTTGTACTGTGGCTGTAGTTTTGTTTGTAGTTTGCTGTAGTTTTGTTTGTATCTTGGCTGTAGTTTTGTTTGTATCTTGGCTGTAGTCTGGTTTGTATCTTGGCTGTAGTTTGGTTTGTATCTTGGCTGTAGTTT